ATTCGATCTTTTCTGAAAAGAAGCTGCAATAAAAAGTAGTCTACTGTGTAGAGCACAATTTACTCTTCAGAATGGTGTGTCAAAAAGAAAATTTTACCTTAAAATTGGCGCGCACTGAATTTTGAACAACAAGTGGTTGATCAATTTTGGAACAATGAAAAAAGGCATTTCGTAATTATGTTGCTAATAAATGCTGAATACATCAATAGATTGACTTCAAATTTTGTACACGTACACTGCAGACCAAGAACTATTATGTGACAAAAACCAGACAGTTCTAGCTTATTTAGCGTCTGAGGTATGAACAAAATAAAAAAATTGATTAAGGTGGTTGATCAATTTTGGTACCCACTGTATATATATACTTATTCTAAGCACATACTCGTATGAATAGAATAAAAGACAAATTTTTATCAATTATTACAATCTGATCAATTCATTCAATGTTTTCATATTTTCATAAAAAAATAAATTTATTGAGCTAGATATTCAATTCAGTAGAAAAGAAATATATGTTGATTAATTTATTATTTATAAATAGTATAACGATCTCTGTTGTGTATTCTCATCATTGAAAATAGATTTAAATTAATTAAATCAAATTATCGACAAACAAGTTATTCTATTGACTTATTGGCAATATTTTCAAAGACCATTTATTCAACGAATATATTATTGATGTACTATTTTAATTATTACATTACAAAATATTATTACAATCTTAACTTGATTCTAAACTGACTTATAACATAGATATATCGAAGAAAAAGTGTTAAATATGAAAAATTTCTTTTTCATGTTGAGTGTGTTTATGGTAAAATTGTTCTTTGTAAAAAAAAAATTAAAGATAAATTAACTTTAACACTAATATTAGGTATTGATAATAAAGATTGATTTATGTATCATTTGTTAAAGAATGTTGAAAAAAAACAGCAATAATCATTCATCTTTAGTTTATCTATTTATACAAGAGAATTTTAATATAAGATTATTTAGATTTTATCTTTGATATTGTTGTTTTCGATCATAAGAAAATAAGTCGTAATCAATAAAATAATCACAATCTTTGGTGCAAAGCACTTTGAAGATATTGAAAAGAGGGAAATGATTGAAGAAAAAGCTGTGAAAATACACACGTACGGTGAGAAGAAGAAAAATGAGTAAGTTATTTGATAACATGAATATTATAGAATGTGTTATCAACTTTTATTTGAGAAGGCGACAATCCATCGGGTTTACCATTTAATGTTGAATTACCGTTTGCTCCAGTTCTCGACTGTGAACTTGGACCAGACGTATTGTTTGTTGGTTGATTAGATAGTTGTTGTGACGATGGCATATTTGATGATTTCTACAATGTAAAGACGAATACAAACTATCACTATAAATATAACAGTGTTAACACTTAGAACAACATACCGTAGGAAAACTCTGTTTGCTTGTAACAGCACTTTGAACAGCACTCGTACCTCCTTTTCTGAAGAAAAAAATGTAGAAATAGAAATAGAAGAAAAAAAAAATATCGTCTACAAACAGAAGCAAGTTTTTCGCTGTGAAAGCAGCAACGCCAACAAGTCCTACAGCAGCTATACTGCCAGCAACTCCACCTGCTATGGCACCTGCGTTCGACGAACCCTAAGTAAAAATTTCAATATATTAGATATTCACAGAAATATAATTAAAACGAAAATTTCGTATCTGTGATTCTGTAATATACCTGACTTGATTCTGAGTTAGATGACTGACTGCCTGTATTCCCTCCACCACCACCTGCTGCTGTTGTTCCACTACCACCTGCTGCAGTTGTTCCACTACCACCACCACCACCTGCTGCTGTTGTACCTCCACCACCACCTGGCGCTGTTGTTCCTCCAGCACCACCTGCTGCTGTTGTTCCTCCAGCACCTGATGTGGTTGTTCCTCCAGGACCTGATACAGTTGTAACTATTATATGTGATGCTGTGAAATAAAACAAAGATTGTATTGTTTTAAATTTGGTTGATTGTTTTTAATTCAAATAAAATGATGATCACAAAAAAAAAATATCGATAGTTTGTTAAAATTCATTCATATGTTTAAAAATTCATTTCACAATAAATACACTTACTTGTAGCAGATGTAATTGCTGATGTTGTAGTTACTGAGGTCGTAGAAAGACCTGACGTAGTAGTTACTGAAGTTGTCGTTGTAGTCGTAACACTTGTTGTTGTTTCTGATGTAGTGGTTGTTGTTGTTACTGTTGTTGTCGAAGCATTATAGACTATGGAAAATAAATTACAGTAGAATTTGTAAGTTAAGACAAGAATCATGAAATTTATTATTTGTTTTGTTTTTTTCTTACATACCACATATAAATAGGTCGATTCGATGATAATTCATATCTGCAATATAAATATTACTAATCGAATCAAGTCGCATTCCTCTTGGATTGCTGAAACCCATTGATACAATTGTATCAGCAACTAAAGAACCAGGAGAAAATCTTTGAACACGATTATTACCAGCATCCATAACGTATCTAAATACAAGAAACAAATATTTTAACAAATAAACATGTATATTTCGATTAAAATTTACAGATAATTGCTATCGTCAAGGGTAATTGCAGTAGGAAAACTTAAAAGACTTGCTGTTGATCCAACTGAACCCGTTACACCAGCAATAACTACACCAGCAGGGGCACCTTTAACAAATATATAATGATAAATTCCAATAATGAGCAAAATGGAAATTTCTTTTAAAAATATACCTGCAGCCCATGATACAATTCTATGATTAGATCGATCGGATATATATACTGCTGCATTTAAATCGACATACACTCCCCAAGGAGCATTTAATTGATTTAGTGCAGTACCAGCAGTACCAGTACCTGCAATCTAAAATTTAAAGAATAAATTTTTCAACAAGAATGTAAAATTAATAATAGAATACCAATTGACTAGCAGTTGTATTTGAAGCATACCATAATGTTACACGATTATTACTAGATTCTGATACATATATATTTCCAACATTATCAACAAATATTGCATAAACAACTCCAATTTTATCGAATGTGGCTCCATTACCTCGTCCTCCGGCTACAGTAAAACCTAATGGTTGATTTGGTAACCATTTTTGAATTCTATAATTTCCATTATCTGCAATGTACATGACTCCATTAAGATCAACAAATATTGCTGTTGGATTATTTAATTCTGAATATCCACTACCGCCAGTTACTGTAAAACCAGCTACCGTGTTTCCAGTTGGTGGTCCTATTGTTGTTCCCGCTATAATTCGGCAATAAAAGGTAAATTTAGTTTAAAAATTTTACAAGAAATTATTTTAACCTGGTGGAAATTTTTGAATTCGACTGTTTGCAGAATCAGCAACATAAATATTTTGATTACCATCAACATATACATCTATAGGACTGCTTAGATAAGCTCCTCCTGAACCAGATGTAGGTGAAGTACCAGCCGCTACTATCCAGCTAGTATTAAAAACACCTGTTTGACATGCTAGGTTCGGAGGTAAAGCTAGTTATTGAAAAAGAGTAGAAAAAAAAATAGTTTTAGAAATCTTTCGAAGTTTTAACAAATAACATACTGGGAGGTGGTAAAGTAACTACAGTTGCATTGCCTATAAAAATAATGAAAAAATAAGATATTGTTTTCTGCTAAATTATGGTGTCGAATATATTTAGTACAATTGTTGAAAATATAAGAGACAATTAAAATTACTTACGACACATAACGTTGAATGAAACAATTCGATTATTAGATGTATCAGCAACAACTATATTACCCGAAGAATCGAAATTCATTCCAATAGGTGTACCCATTGAGGATGTTACAATTGTTACTCCATAAGTCATTCCTGGTAGCCATTTTTGAATTCTTGAATTGCCAGCATCCATAACATACATATAACCATATTGATCAAATATGACTGCCGTAGGTGAATTGAATTGATAAGACCAAGCACCTGGAGTAGCACTCTGTCCAGCAATGGTAATACCAACAGCAGCACCTACAAAATATAATAATAGTTGAATGAGAATAGATCACTAATAAATTGATAGGAATTACCAGCAGGCCATTTTTGGATTCGATGATTTGATCGATCGGCAACATACAAGACACTACTGGCATCAACATAGATTCCATAAGGATAATTAAGTTTATCGGCAGTGCTGCCTTGAACTGATATACCTGCCACCTTTAATTTATACAAGAAAAGAATTAAAATATAAATTATATGAAAGAATATAATACCAATTCTCCAATAGTATTATTGCCTGCTATCCACTTGGTGACTCGATGATTGCCATATTCAGATACGTATATATTATTTTGATAGTCGATAAACATTGCATAACTGACTCCAATCTTATCCAACGTTGTACCTGATCCTCGACCATTAACAGCTACAGTACCAAAAGTATCACCTAAGGTCCATTTCAAAACTCGATAATTGAATGTATCTAATATATACATTATTCCATTTGAATCAAACGCAACTGCTGATGGACTGTTAAATTGCGCCAGTGAAGTACCAGAAGAATTAGTAACACCGGCTACTGTTCTTCCGATATTTGAATCTGAATAGAAGAAATAAGTAATTTATTTCATTTATTCAAACTAAAATTTGATAGATACTCGGTGAATATTGTTGAATTCTGTGATTTCCAGTATCAGCAATATACATATTTAGATATCCATCGAAATTAACACCATATGGACCAAAGACAAATGTTGGTGTATATCCTGAATATGCCGTTGCACCTGTTATGATAGTAGCATTGGAATTCCAAACTGCTATTGGGCACATAAGAGTTGTCGTTGAAGCTATTTAACAAGGCATCAATAAGAGAAAATTAATCAAAATGAAGAAATAACTTACTAGGTGGTGTTGGAGTTGTTGTTGATGCAGTAGCTACATATAAAAACGAAAATGAAATATATTAAGTAGTCAACTGATATTAATCTCTTATTTATTTTCATGTTTTTTTAGTTTCACGATTTCCTCAAATAATTTTAAACTCATATAACACATAAAATGTTCAAATAAAATTTTAACAATATAGAATTCATATTGTGTAGAAATTTCTTGTTAAAAACTTTTTTGTATTTTTTTTTGCTTTTTAGAAAAAATTTTTTATTCTCTTGTTTTTCTATTATCACTTACCGCACCATACAGAAAACAACACAATTCGTTGATTGCCTGTGTCAGCCACGTAGAGATTTCCAGCACGATCAATAGTCATTCCTAGCGCACCATTCAAAGTTGCTGATAACACAGTTATACCAAAACTGCCTCCGGGCCACCATTTTTGTACTCGATTATTGCCAGAGTCCAACACAAACATAGAACCATATGGATCGAATGTAATTGTTGTTGGATTATTGAATTGATACGACCATGGACCTGGATCATTAGTTGATCCAGCAACAGTAACACCAGCAGTAAAACCTTTATTCAATATTTTCAATTAAGTATATTGGTAAATGAGATCAAACACTAACCTGACACCCATTGTTGCACGCGGTGATTACCACGATCAACTACATAAACTGTATTACTACTATCAACATAGATTCCCCAAGGTCCATTTAATTTATCTGATGTACTACCGAGACCATTACCACCAGCAACCTAAAAAGTAATAATAATAGAGAATAGAAAAAAATCATATCAAATATATAAATAATGAATCATACCAATACACCAGCAGTTGTATTTCCATTCAACCATTTTGTAACTCGATTATTAGCAGTTTCAGATACATAAACATTATATTGATTATCAACAAACATTCCATTACTTAAAGCTATTTTATCAAATGTACTGCCAGAACCTCGACCACCAACAATGACAGTACCAAGTGGCTCTCTGTCTTGCCATTTGAGAACTCTATAGTTGTTACTATCCAAAATATACATTGTTCCACTAGAATCAACATAGATCGCTGTTGGATTATTGAGTTGAGAAAATCCAGCACCTGAAGCGGCTGAAACACCAGCTACAGTGTCACCACCAATAGATCCTAAACAAAAGAATTATTTGAAGTATAGAAAATAATATTTCATATATACCCAATGGAAATCGTTGAATTCTATGATTACCATAATCTACTACGTAAACATTTTGATATGCATCAACAGTAACATAGTATGGACTAGACAATAGATATTGTGTAGATGATGCAATTGCTGTTCCACCAGCTATTTGAGTAAATGTGGCATTCCATGTCGCTGTTGGACAAAGTGTAATTGCCATTTGAGCTATGATCACAAAGAAAAGCAAAATGAAATGAATGCAAGATACATGAAAAACAACGACTCACTTGGTAATGGTGGTGGAGTTGTTGTTGTAGCAGCTTAAAAATAAGACAAAAGAACATATTGAATTTCTTGTAATATATTAATTGTCTATTCTTTCTCTCTATTTATCTCTCTATTTATATATATAGTAGAAATCTTTCCAAAAATAATAGCTGAATAAGAGAAAATAAAATTTGTACTATTAGCTCATCATTTCATACAATTATATATATCGGCTTGTCCAAGCGTAATGCGATGACGTTTTGTCCGCTGTGTCTTCAAATTTTCTCAGCAACAAAATCACTTAGAAACTTGATTTTTTCGTCAGAAGGTGCGTCTCCTTATGTACTCTTTGAATCCAGTAAATTTGAGTTTATTGAGCAAAGCATTCTGAAAATCATAGCAAAAATATACAGCGTAACGCGATGATGGATAAGGGACAAAAATTTGAGAGTGTTGTACTCGTTCATTGTTTTAGTCCAAATGTATATTATCTTGAACAAAATATTTCACAATATATTTGTAGTAAACACTTTGGAGTATTAATGTGAAAAAAGTTTTTTTCGAAAAGGTCTCTCATTAATTGTGAAACTTTGGTCACATTAACGTTACGCAATGACGATTTTGTAATGCGATGACGAAAATTGGAAAAATAAAACTCTTTTTCGGCTATTAGCGTATCCACAATGGTGAATAAATGCCAGTTAAATCTCATGTTCTGAAAACCTCAAATAGCTTTTACACATTTTCTCTCTTATTACATCGGATAATACTGGTGATATTTAGACCTGATTTTTCAAACTACCGGCATTGAAGGTGACGCGTTACGTAGACAAGTCGATATACAGATTAAAATGAAAAGAATTGTTCCATCATATTGACTTACGGCATGTTAGAGAAAATGACAAAATTCTGTGAAAAGATGTGTCAGCAATAAAAATATTGCCAAGACGATCAAATGTCATGCCATATGGAGTGCTCATAGTTGTTGATATAACAGTTGTACCATAGATTGCTCCTGGAAACCATTTTTGGACTCTATTATTGCCAGTATCCAAAACATACATATAGCCATATATATCAAAAGTTATTGCTGTTGGATTACTGAATTGATAAGACCATGGACCTGAACTACCAGTTGTTCCAGCGACAGTAATACCGATTGTTGATCCTATTAAACACATATATATTCATCAATTCGAATGAGAGACTGTTGAAAAATATTTTATATACCATAACTCCATTGTTGTACTCGTTGGTTATTTCGATCGACGACAAATACAGCATTACTACTATCAACATAGATTCCCCATGGTCCATTTAATTTATCTGCTGTACTTCCGACGCCATTACCACCAGCCGCCTAAAAAATAAAAATCATAAAGAATATCTAAGAATACATATATATTATTAACAAAAGAATACCAAAATACTAGCAGTTGTATTGCCTGCAGTCCACTTTGTGACTCTGTTATTACTGGATTCCGATACATAGATATTGTATTGACTATCAAGAAATAAAGCATAACTTGTTCCTATCTGAGTATATGCGGCACCAGAACCTTGTCCACCAGCTACAATATAACCAACTGGATTTCCTGCTTGCCAACGAAGCACTCTATTGTTGGCACCATCTAAAATATACATTACTCCAGTTGCAGTAACACGTATCGCATAGGGAGTGTTGAGTTGAGACCGTGCAGCAGCAGGAGAACCTGTACTACCAGCAATAGTTATTGCGTTACTTGAGCCTGAAGTATACAATGATTGAGATATTCAATATACAAGTATAATATAGATTCAAACCTGGTTGAAAAAGTTGAATACGGTGATTAGATGAATCAACTATATACATATTTTCATATGCATCAAAAGCAACATCGTATGGACTGTTAAATAAGGTTGCTATAGTTCCTGTAGTTGATGTTGAACCGGCTCTAAGAGAATATGTCTGATTCCAAGAAGCTGTTGCACACATTGGAACAACTGGTAGAGCTATTATTCAATAGAAAAAATGAAAATATATATTTGAAAAAAAAAACTGTGAAATAAAGTACTTGATGGTGGTGCAGCCGTTGTAGTTGACGACGCTAAAAGATTTCCAAAAACAAAATTAATTTCAAATACTTAGAACAAACAATAAGATATTTCATTATAAAATATTGAAGAAAAAAATATATTAACTAATTTTAACTGAATTTCTACACATTATCTACTTAGTATAACTTACGACATGTAACAGGAAAAGAAATAATTCGATGAAATGATGTATCAGCTACAACCAAATTCCCTAATAGATCCCATTGCATTCCTTTTGGACTACTCATTGTTGCACTTATGATAGTTGTTCCATAAACCGCTCCTGGAAACCATTTTTGAACTCTGTTGTTGCCTTGATCTAGAACGTACATATAACCATATTGATCAAATGTGATTGATGTTGGATTGTTGAACTGATAAACCCATGGACCTGGATCACTAGTTGATCCAGCAACAGTAACACCAAGAGGAGCACCTATATTCGATATTTTCAATAAGATATGCGCCTAAATAAGATCGAGCACTTACCCGATATCCATTTTTGTACGCGATGATTACCACGATCAACGACATAAAGTGTATTGCTACTATCAACATAGATTCCCCAAGGTCCACTTAATTTATCTGATGTACTACCGAGACCATTACCACCAGCAACCTAAAATCAATAATCATAGAAAATAAAAAAGTCAACATCAAATGCATAAGGAATGAACCATACCAATATACCAGCAGTTGTATTTCCATTAAACCATTTTGTAACCCGATTATTAGCAGTTTCCGATACATAAACATTATATTGATTATCAACAAACATTCCATTACTTAAAGCTATTTGATTAAGTGCAGTACCAGAACCTCGACCACCAACAACGAGAGCACCAAGTGGATCTCCAAGTTGCCATTTAAGTACTCGATAGTTATTACTATCTAATATGTACATTACTCCATTAGGAGCAACAGAGATTGCTGTTGGATATGAAAGTTCAGAAAGTCCACTACCCGATGTAAATGCAATACCGGCTACAGTTTGGCCAATATTTGATCCTAAATGAAAAAGTTATTTCAATTATTTAAACTGTTATATGATATATATGTATACCAGCTGGAAGCCGTTGAATTCTATGATTGTTATTATCGGCCACGTACATATTTTGATATCCATCAAAAGTCATGTCATATGGAGAAGAAAATAAAGTTGATGTAGATCCTGGATTTGATATTGCACCAGCTATCGTAGTAAATGATGAATTCCATGACGCAGTTGAACAAAGTGGAACTGTTGTTTGGGCTATTATGATAGAAAAGAAGGTAAACATCAATTATATATATATAATAGAAACAATAGTGAAACCTACTTGGTGGTGCTATTGTTGTTGTAGTAGATGATGCTAAAATGAAAGATATTAGTAATATTATTCTACACATTCAGTTAATAAAGGTAATGATGTAACCAGAAAATAGGATCGAGTAAGTACTCAAAGTTTTTTCGGGAATTTTTCGAACTCATTTAAACTATTCGAAGATACTTTTCGAATTATAAAATTGAATTTTTTTTTGAATAAGACAATCAAAGTCAGGTGATTAATATTATTTAAAAAATTTTTCTTAGAAAAAAAAATGTTTTTCTTTGCAGAAAGTAATAAGATTAAAATCTATCTGATAATGATATTATCATTCTAAAAATTATTTATATTTTCATAAATTTATAGTATTTATACAGAATCATGAAATAGTTAAAGAGATTGTTGTGTTATGTTATAATGAATTTTCAATACAAACACTATATATTAGAAATGCTACTGTTTAACTTCGGTTATCACTTATATAATAATTAGAATTCTATTTGATTAAAATTCAAATTAATGTGCTTTTCATACAGTTGTTTACTACACGATCTAGTCAAAAGGTGAAATTATATATTCTTGTCTTAGTTAAACACATGATTTCATTAAAAAAAAAAAGAACTATACTACCTAGTATATCTAGCAATTTCAAACCATGCCAGTCATCATTTTTAGTATTGAAACATTTAGTAAAAAGGATTTTTAGTTCGATAAAATGATTTAAATCTCATTTCTTTGTTGAAATAAGTAATTATTTGAATTATCAAACAGTTCTCTAGATTCATTGTTTTTAATGGTTGAGAAAAAATTCTCCAAAAAAGCGAAATTCAAAGTTCTGTTCTATGGATAAATATTTATAAATGTTAGCTTCATGTTATACCTACTCAAAATTTTTTACTTTTTGTAATAATAGTTTCCAAAGAATGAAACTGAAGTTTTAAATAATATTCCGATTTAGTTAAAATGTAAATATGTAACAGACTATTCTGTGACATATTAAAATCGATTTTTTTCTAGTAGACATCATCGTTTCTATATGACAAATAAGAGAGATTTAATAGAAGAATTAGTATCACAATGACAAGAATAGAGTAAACCATTTCAAACGAATAGTTTTGTTTTTTCAAGAATCGTCATCAAGCGTTGGTTTTCATGAAATATAAAAAATGACATGAAATCCTAGCACAATGCGATTAATCGAACAATATTCACGAAATTCTAACGAACATGTTTGTACTTCACATCAAGATCACATTATACAGTTAATTCACATCAAATATTTAATAGATAATCAGAGATGGCGTTCGTTTTTTCACTGACGATATTTCTATTATTAGTTAACGTGAAACGATGGGAATGTAATAATGAACAACGGATCCTATTAATAATAATAATAATAATAATATACTTGTTTTCTGATTAACTACAATAAAAATAAGTCCTCTGAGTAGAAAATTGTTAGGTTTTGTTTTAGAACATTTAGTAATTATCCTTTCAAAACTGTTTACAGAAAATGATATCCTCAAATCAAGAGATGGTAGAATTGGGTTGAGTAGTTATTGACCCTATTTCGGCTACAGCAGGAAAGAAGGACACAAATAATATTAATATAAACTATAACTTACGGCATATCAATGTAAACGATAAAACGCGATGATAACCTGTATCAGTGATAAACATATTACCAAAACGATCGATTCTCATACCATATGGACTACTCATAGTTGCCGATATAACAGTTGTTCCATACGTTGCTCCTGGAAACCATTTTTGGACTCTGTTATTGCCTTGATCTAGTACATACAAGTTACCATACTGATCTAAAGTTACAGCTGTTGGACTACTGAGTTGATATGACCATGTACCTACACTACCAGTTGTTCCAGCAACCGTTATTCCAGCATTTCCACCTTGTGTAAGTAAATATCATTGGATCCAATAACAAAAAAATTACAAAATATATATTACTAACCTGCAATCCATAATTGAACTCGATGGTTGTTTCGATCAGCAATGTAAATTGATCCATTAACATCAACATATACACCCCATGGTCCATTTAATTTATCTGCAGTACTTCCAACACCATTTCCACCAGCCACCTATAATTAAATCATAACAGAGAAAACCTTGCAAAACATTTTCAAGTTCAATGAAAAATACCAATACTCCTGCTGTTGTATTACCAGCATACCAAATAGTTACTCGATTATTTGAATTGTCTGACACATAAACATTGTAGTGTTCATCGACAAATATACCAGCACAATATCCTAACTTATCATATGTTGAACCTAGACCACGACCACCAGCAACTACATAGCCTAGTGGATCTTCATCTTGCCATTTTAAAACACGAAAATTATAATGATCCACAATAAACATTGTACCATTTGGTGAAACAGCAATGGCTGTTGGATAATACAGTTGCGCACGTGTCGAACCAGCTGTAAGTGTAAAACCAGCTACCGTTGAACCAACAAACGATCCGTATGGAAATTTCTGTATTCGGTTATTATTAAAATCGGCAACATACATATTATCATATCCATCAAAAGCAATATCATATGGACTGTTTATTAATGTTGCTGTATTACCTGGAGCTGATGTGGCGCCAGCTCCAATAGAAAATGATTGATTCCAAGCAGCTGTTGGACACAATGGAATAATTGGCTGAGCTATTAATTATCAGTAAAATGATCGATTTGAATCAATTTTTTTTAATAAGAAAACAAAGACATGACTTACTTGCTGGTGCTGCAGTTGTTGTTGTTGTGGCGACTGAAATTCAATAAAACCGTTAAAAAATTTTCATTATATTTAAAAAAAATATTATTCTTTTATCAAAAATGATTACTTATATACTATATAGTCACTTTTCTGTCGTAATATTTTAGTTATATAATAATTTTAAAAAATACTCGACAAATACTAACAAAATATAGGTTTTTAACTTACGGCACACTAAACTAAATTTCACGACTCGAGAATTTGATGTATCAGCTACAACTATGTCACCAAGAAGATCCAATGCTAATCCATACGCATTGCCCAATGCTGCTGATGCTACAGTGCTGCCATAGGATGCTCCAGGCCACCATTTTTGTACACGAGTATTGCTATAATCCATTATATAAATGTATCCATATATATCCATTGTAATTGTTGTTGGACTACTTAACTGATATGACCATGGACCAGCATCACTAGTTGAACCCGCGACTGTATCACCAAAACTTGCTCCTAAATAGTAGTCAATCAAAAATATAATAAAAAAGAATTATTAAGCAGGAATTAACGTACCGAAAAGCCATCGTTGAACTCTATGATTTGAACGATCGACGATATATATTGTATTCGAGGCATCAACATATATTCCCCATGGTCCATTGAGTTTATCTGCAGTACTACCAGCACCATTTCCACCGGCCACCTAAAGTTTAACAGTAGAAAGAAACGCAGAAAACTCATCTATACATCTAAATTCAATGAAAATTACCAGTCTTCCAGCAGTCGTATTACCATTAGACCAAAGTGTTATTCGATGATTATCATATTCCGAAACATAAATATTGTACTGAGAATCGAGAAATATATCATAGCTTGTTCCAATTTGAGTAAATGCTGCTCCTACTCCATGGCCTCCAGCTATAACATAGCCAAGTTGGTCTCCAACTTGCCAACGAAACACTCTATAATTACTTCTATCCAAGATAAACATAGTTTGATTGTGTGTAACACGAATGGCTACTGGATAATAGAGTTCTGCGCGTGATGCACCAGATGAAAGTGAAAATCCAGCTACTGTTCTTCCAGTAGATGAACCTTCTTGATATAATTGCACTCTATGATTGTTGTAATCAACAACATACATATTACGATATCCATCGAAAGCTACATAATACGGATAATTAAGTAACGTTGATGTGGATCCCGCATTTGATGTTGCACCAGCCACAATAGAAAGTGATTGATTCCATGCCGCTGTTGCACATAAGGGACTTGTTGTTGGAACTATCAAGTAAAGAGTAAACATAAATTAATTATTATCAAAAATTTACTTACATGGTGGTGCTGTAGTTGTCGTTGTTGGAGCCGCTAGAAATTCAAAATAGAATATAATAAATTTGTATGACAAATATATATCATTATGATCTATAAGATTACTTACGACATGCGATAGGAAAAGATAAGACTCGATGATTGGATGCATCTGCGACAACAATATTACCAAGATGATCAATTTTCATTCCAGTCGGATTGGAAAACTGTGCTGTGATAATAGTCGTGCCATAACTAGCTCCGGGCCACCATTTTTGTACTCGGTTATTATTATAATCCAATACGTATATATAACCATATTGATCGAGTGTAATTGCTGTTGGACTACTAAATTGATATGACCATGGACCTGGATCACTCGTCGATCCAGCAACAGTAACACCACTGGCAGCACCTATAAACATTTGTTACGAATTTATACGATACAATTACCAAGAATATATTACTTACTTAAGTCCCATCTTTGTACTCTGTGATTACTTCGATCGACAACAAAAATTGATCTGTTGACATTAACATAAATACCCCATGGAGAATTAAGTTTATCGGCTGTGTTACCAGCACCATTTCCACCAGCAACCTTAAGTTAAACAAAAAGAAAAAAGAGAAAATACAAAACACATTAGCACATCAATTTCAACAAAAACTACCAATTGTCCTGCACTTGTATTACTTGCAGACCAAAACATTACTCGACAATTTACTTGTTCAGATAAATAAATATTATATTGATCATCAGCAAATATTCCATAACTATAATCCATCTGAGTATATGCTGAACCTTGACCATGACCACCAGCAACTATATAGCCTAATGCATCTCCAAGTTGCCATTTTAAAACACGAAAACTATAAGTGTCTAAAATAAACATTGTTCCATTTGATGATACTGCAATGGCTGAAGGATAATAAAGTTCAGAACGTGATACACCAGATCCAAGAGAGAAACCAGCGACATTTACACCAATATTTGAGCCTATAAATGAAATTTAATAAATTTAAAAAAAAAATCTGTCTCTACCTGGGGCAAATCTTTGTATACGATGATTATTCCTATCAGCAACATACATGTATCGATATCCATCAAAATCAATATCATATGGATAAGCGAGTAAAGTCGATGTAGTTCCTGATGTAGACATGGCTCCGGCTAAATTAGAAGATGATTGATTCCACATAGCTGTTGCACATAATGGTACAATTGCTTGAGCTATTCAGAAATAAAATGAAACAAATAAGAATTGGTTTTTTTTTGAATGTAAGGAAAACTTATAAATAACTTACTTGGAGGCGCTATAGTTGTTGTTGTAGCAGGTGCTAAAATTTATGAAAATATATTGCTAGTGTACTATTCATATAACAACTATATATATATGTCTCTTCTTTATTTTCCTTAGAATTTGAAAAAATAGATCTTATTTTAAATGAAAAGTATATATATAACAACGTTTCAGTGATTTGTTTTTTGAGCTAAGATTTTCTTCAAGAAAATCGTATAGTACAACCTATTGAATTAAACAATAGATTTTATAATATATGCTGTTACTTACGACATGTGAGTCCAAATGATAAAATTCGATGATTAGTTGTATCAGTGACAACTATATTACTTTGACGATCAAATCGCATTCCACTTGGATTGCCCAAATTTGTTGCAACCACAGTAATACCAAAACTTGCTCCCGAAACCCATTTTTGCACACGATCATTGTTGTAATCCAAAACGTATATATAACCATATTGATCAAGTGTGATTGCTGTTGGACTACTAAATTGATATGCCCATGGACCTGGATCACTCGTCGATCCAGCAACAGTAACACCAATAGCAGCACCTGCAAACAGTTATCATAATCTCAAATGACTAAAAATGACAACAGATGTTACTTACCCACATCCCATCTTTGTACTCTGTGATTATTTCGATCGACAACAAATATTCTTCCGTTGACATCGACATAAATGCCCCATGGAGAGTTAAGCTTATCTGCTGTATTACCAGCACCATTTCCACCAGCTACCTACAGAAAATTAAATATAAATAAAAATAAATGTTATTCGTAATCATTACTAATTGTCCGACACTTGTATTAGTGACTTGCCATATTGTCACTCGATTATTACTACTTTCGGACACATAAGTATTATATTGATTGTCGACGAATAAAGAATTGCTTGTTCCAATGCAATTGAATGTTGAACATAAACCTTGACCACCAGCAACTATGTATCCAAATGGATTGCCAACTTGCCATTTTAAAACTCGATAGTTGTTTGTATCTAATATAAACATCGTTTGATTTGAAGTAACATATATTGAAGATGGAGAAGAGAGTTCTGCCAGTCTGTTACCAGCAGAACCTGATACACCGGCTACTGTTGTTCCAACATTTGATCCTAAATATGAAAGTCAATGATGTTTTCAATATTTATATGAAAACTTAATTTAAACCTGATGGAAAACGTTGAATTCGATGATTATTAGTGTCAACAACATACATATTCTGATATCCATCAAAACCTATATCAGATGGGCTATTGAGTTGAGTTGTTGTTGATCCTGCAGTTGACATTGATCCAGCTATAGTAGTATATGCTTGATTCCATGCTGCTGTAGCACATACTTGAGTCATTCCTTGGGCTATTTCATATCAACTTAAGTTTAGTTTATGACAACTATGACAAAACTTACTTGGTGGTACAGTTGTTGTTGTAGATGGCGGTGCTATAAATAAAAAAGAATAATATTATTGAACTAATTGTGAAATATACATATATTGACAGAACAATGCTAACATTTGATGATATTATATTTTACTCTATTGTCTTTTAGTTTTACACAAAAAGAACAGAATTATTATGAGTATACAAGTTATGTATTATTATTATCGAGTTCTATTTATATTGAAAACATATGCTAAAAAATATAAAAGCAATCATAATAATTCTCATTACTTACGACATGACATGACAAAAGATAAAATACAATGGTTGCCTGTATCAGCTATAATTAATTCACCACGAGGACCAACTTCAATTCCATATGGAGTACTCATCGATGTGGCTACGACTGTGACTCCATAAGTGGCTTCTGGAAACCAACGTTGAACGCGTGAATTTCCTGTGTCCAACACATACATATAACCATATTGATCAAATGTGATTCCAGTGGGATTATTAAATTGATAAGCATATGGACCTCCATTTCCACTTGAACCAGCAACAGTAACACCGGTCAACGCCCCTGAGAAAGCATTCATTTATTTTCATAGAACAAAATCATATTTGAGTATATGTTTTGCATTACCTGAATCCCAGCGTTGTACTCGATGATTGGCTTTATCAACTATGAAGATGGTACTGTTCACATCGACATAAATTCCCCAAGGACTATTTAACTTTTGTGATGTACTACCAGCACCATTTCCACCAGCCACCTACAATATGACTAAAGAATAGAAAATTATAAAATCATCAAAGGATCATACCAATATTCCAGTAGTTGTATTAGTTGTTAACCACAGAGTGACACGATGATTGCCATATTCTGATACATAAACGTTGCCTTGATTATCAACAAACATTGCATAACTTGTTGTAATTTGAGTTAATGCTGAACCCCACGATTGACCACCAGCAACAACATAACCTAATGGATCTCCAAATGCCCATTTCAAAACTCTATAGTTTGAAGTATCTAATATGTACATTGTTCTTCTTGCATCGATATAAATAGCAGATGGATTGTTGAGTTGTGAATATCCACTACCAGCAGCACCTGACTGGCCAGCTACTGTTGTTCCAATCGATGATTCTAAATAGAGTGAAAAAAAAACGGTTTCTAGTAATAATCGTATGAAGCAAATTTATTACCTGAACTAAATAGTTGGATTCTATGATTAGTATAATCGGCCACATATAAATTAAGATATCCATCAAAAGCAATATCATATGGATTATAAAGTTGTGTTGTTGATGAACCCAAAGTTCCTGATATTCCAGCTAACGGTGAAGAAGCTTCATTCCAAACAGCTGTGGCACATATTTGAGATGTTGTTGAAGCTATTTAATCAAAATTGAAGTTTATGTTCTATCAAAAAAGATTAATGTATGACTCACTAGGTGGTAATGCAGTTGTTGTCGTTGTAGGTGCTGAAATTGAACGAAATAGAATATTTATAAATAGTTTAAAAATAAATATATTTTTTAAGGTTAAATAATTATATTGTTTATAATAGTAAAAATTATTGAATTTACAATAAGATAGCATACAATAACTTACGGCATAGAAGACCAAAAGAAACAATTCGATGATTATTTGTATCAGTTACAACAAGATTATTAAGACGATCAAGTTGCATTCCAAGTGGCGTAGCAAATGATGCTGCAAAAACTGTTGCTCCATAAAGTGCACCGGGCCACCATTTTTGAATTCGTGCATTACCAGAATCTAAAACGTATATAAAACCAGCCGGATCAAGCATGACTGCTGTAGGACTACTGAATTGATAAGACCAAGGACCTGAACTACCAGTTGTACCAGCAACAGTAACACCACTAAGTACTCCTATAGAAATATTTATTAGATTAATCAAATTTAATGACGAGAAGTTGATTTATTATTTACCATTATCCCAACGTTGTACACGATGATTATTTCTATCAACTATAAACGCTGCTTGATTTGCATCAACATATATTCCCCATGGATTATTTAATTTTTCTGGTGTACTACCAGCACCATTTCCACCAGCCACCTACAATACAATAACAAAAAAAAAATATCAGTATTTATACGATGAACTAAGAATTACCACAATGCCAGCAGTTCTATTATTTACCGACCAAAAAGTGACACGATTGTTACCACTGTCCGACACCCAAATATTATATTGATTATCAACAAACATACCATAACTTGTTGAAATTTGAGTTAATGCTGAACCCCATGATTGACCACCAGCAACAACATAACCTAGTGGTTCTCCTAATGTCCATTTTAAAACTCGATAGTTTGCAGTATCTAAGATATACATTATTCTGTTTGCATCAACATAAATAGCAGATGGATTGTTAAGTTCTGAATATCCACTACCAGCAGAACCAGAATTACCAGCAACAGTTGTGCTTGTATACGATCCTGAAGAGGAAAAGTTTCGTCATCATCATCATCAACATAGTAGTCATTTTTAAAATCTGATTATTACCTGATGCGAATAATTGAATTCTGTGATTAGAAGTATCAACAACATACATATTTTGATATCCATCAAAATACGTATTAGATGGATACCTTAGCAAAGTAGTTGATGTTCCTATAGTTCCTGTAATTCCAGCTCGAACATTAACTGTTGCATTCCAAGTAGCTGTTGCACATAATTGAGTAGTTGGTGTAGCTTTTCACGCGCAATAAAAACATAAATTAAATATATCGTTTATTAAGAAAGATGGAAAACTTACTTGGTGGTAGAGTCGTTGTTGTAGTTGAAGCCGCTAAAGTTAGAAGAAAGAATAATATATAAAATTCTAGTATATCTTTATTCTATTTAAATGCATAATATATTAGAATATTGATAAGTATAAAATAAAAAATTTATTTTTTTACAAAATTAGTTATCTTAAAAGACTTTTATTTCAATTGAAAGTCAGTTTATATATGAGGTCTTTTTCAATCGAATATTTGAATCAAATCATCTGTCTAACTATCTGTCGTTTGAAGATACACACACACACACACACATATATATATATATATATATACATATATGAATACTTACGGCATGCCATACCAAAATACAAAATTCGGTGGTTGCTTGTATCACAGATAATAATATTACCATTGTGGTCAATTTGTAATCCATATGCAGAATTCAATGATGCTGCTACAACAGTTTTTCCATAGGCAGCTCCAGGCCACCATTGTTGAACTCGATTATTTCCAGTATCCAAAACATACATGTAGCCATTTGAATCGAAAGTGATTGCAGTTGGATTGGTAAATTGATAAGACCATGGACCTGAAATACTAGTCATACCGGCGACAGTAACACCTGATGTTGTTCCTATATTAATATTCATAGATTTAACTGAATTTATTAATTGTTACATATATTTTACTTACCAGATGCCCAGAATTGAACTCTATGATTTGAATGATCAACGACATATACACCTTGATTACTATCGACATAAACTCCCCATGGATAATTTAATCGTTCTGCGGTGGTACCAAGACCATTTCCACCAGCGACCTAGAATGAAACAAAAAGGAACATAAGTTTCTATAATTATCAAATAGTAATACCAAGAATCCAGAAGTGGTATTGGTTGGATTCCATTTCACGACTCGATGGTTTCGATAATCTGATATATAAATATTACTTTGACTATCAACAAACAAACCATAGCTATTGTCTATTTGAGTCAATGCTCCACCACATCCATGACCACCAGCAACAACAAAACCAAGTGGATCACCTAGTTGCCATTGCAACACTCTGCAATTGCTCCAATCTAATATGTACATTGCATTGCTTGGATCAACATATATTGATGTTGGATAGTAAAGATGGGAATAACTGGAACCAAGACTAGCTGAGATACCAGCTACTGTTGTACCAAACATTGAGCCTAAATACGAAAGATATTAATATTTTTATTTTTATTTTCTTTCTAAATCTTAATCTAATCTATACCGCGTGGAAATCTTTGAATTCTGTGATTGGTACAATCAGCGACGTACAAATTCCCATAGGTATCGATATATATATTATGAGGAGTGTTGAGTGTTGTTTCTGATGATTGTGCATTTCCTGTTGATCCAGCTTTGACTGTAAATGATTGATTCCACACAGCTGTTTGACATACTGGAATAATTGGTTGTGCTATTAATAATAATAAGAAAAATAAGTATTCGATTCTACAATATATTGCTGGATTTAAGTTAAATGTTTTAATATATAGCAAATTGTGTAGCATTTAGATTTTGCTATATAAGAGAATGATAATTCATTTTATCAAGCAATAACCTGCATGTAATTTTGAACATTTAATAAAAGGCAAATACAAAAATCTATGTAACTTTTTTTCATTTCCTTCATATTTAATTAAGTTTATCTTTCTCAATGTTGTTAGTATAGAAGAAAAACGAAAGACTTACGTGTTGGTGCTACAGTTGTCGTTGCGTTTGGTGCTACAAATAAAGAAATGAGAATATCAGATTAGAATACGACAATATTTACACATCTCAAATGTATACATATGAAACAAATGTCGATTACATTCATTAAGACTTCATAATATTTTACATTTTAAACTCTTATTTTGTCTTCTTCTCCAAAAGCATTACTAATTAAATGCAACCTTTTATTTAGTTGACCTGTTATTACATAGGTACAGCATATTATTCATATTATACTCATAATATTAGTGTAACCTTATTAAGAACAATATTAGAAGATTATTTTTTTCATTGTTTGAGTTTACTTTTAAATGCAATAGTGTTATACATGTAACATAATTTTAAAAAAATAAGAATTAAATGTGCGCATGACATTTGTGATTTCTCGTATAATATTTCTGTGACTACTGATAAAAAACATACTTTTTAATAATAATTCAATAATAACTGTACACTATTGAAAGTCACATTTTATTATGATGAGACTTATTAATAAAAATCTAATTAAATTCATTCAAAAAATTAAAATTAAAAAATGAAACATTCATTTTGTGTTCATATGAGTTTTCTTATTATAAACCGATAATGTTCAAAACCTTAATTTCGACATCTTTGTTTGCTTTCGTATATTTACATATATATATATATATATATATATTTACTCAACTATTTTAACGTAAAGATAGCTTAAAATAGTACTTACGACATAGCATGGCAAATGAAATAACTCGATCAGAAGTATGATCAGCCACAACTATATTACCATAAGGATCAAAACGTATTGCTCGTGGATCGTTCATGCTACTTGATGACACAACAGTTACTCCATATGTTGCTCCCGGAAACCATTTTTGAATTCTGTTATTATTAGCATCCATTATATACAGATAACCATATTGATCCATCATGACATGTGTCGGATAATTCAATTGATACGACAAACTACCGGAAGCACCAGTTTGACCTGCAACAGTAGTACCAACAACTGCGCCTAGAAGTGATTCAATCAATTGAAAAACAATTCAATAACATAAAATAATCAAAATACGAACCTGAAGGCCATTTTTGAATACGATGGTTGCTAGCATCGGCAATAAATAATGTACCACTGTTGTCAACGTATATTCCATACGGATTATTAAGTTTATCTGATGAGCTACCAACTCCATATCCACCAGCCACCTAACATAAAGATGTAGATGCATAATAAACAGTGAGTCAAAAAAAGAAACATACCACTTGACTGATGTTTGGATTGCCAGCAGTCCATAAAGTAACTCGATGATTCAAATATTCTGATACGTATATATTGGAATTAGCATCGACGTGCATTGCGTGACTCGTCGTTATCTGATTTAGTCCCGAACCAGAACCGCGACCACCAGCTACTACTGTAACGACATTGTTAACCCATTGAACAACTCTATAATTGCTGGTATCCAAAACGTATATATCACCATTATTGGTAACATGAACACTGCTCGGATTAGAAAGAGTTAAATTCGTAACTGTTGTTGCTCTTGCTGATCCATCAGCAAACTTTTGAATTCGATTGTTATAGTAATCAGCAATATAAAACGTATTATTTCCGGTGTAAAATATATCAAGAGGACCATTCAATAAGGCAGTCCCACCTCCTCCTACTCCTGTTATACCTGCAATCACCGTGAAAGTGTTGTTCCAAATGGCTGTTGGACATATTATAGAATATTGGGCTACAATAACAAACAATATATTTGCATCATATATCTCTAATTTTTCATTAGAATTCGCTGAGTTTAATGATTCTTACCTTTGTATCAAAGATCACACTTTGATACTAGGATTGAATATTATTGCAAATAAAAAAACGTTTATATCGCATCTAAACTATTCTTTTTTTCAAACGATGGAACAAATGTTTCGTCCTATTCGGTATGACTTTGTCAATAATCACTCTTGAACAGTGATATTTCTTTAGACAATTTATTTGTGAATCATGTATGACATGAAAAAACTGATGCTTTGCTTGTATCTGACAATGTTGAAAATAAATTACATTCTTTTTATTTACGACATTTAAATAACTTGTACAATTGATTAGTTGTATTGTCAAATTGTAGGATGACTCATATGAATTTTGTTGATTTTATTTCAAACAATCTACTTTTCTCTATATTTTCTATTGGGTAATAATATGTTTTATCAATATACATTAGTTTATCAGACCGATCAATTTAATTTATGAAAAATATTTCATAAAAACAAAGATCAGTACCAATTGTATTTCACTAATATATAAAATAGAGATGCCATATATGTTCAGCCGATCATGATATCTTTTAGTTTTGAACCATCTAACCTTTAACCTTGATCCAATCCAGAGAGCTACACAGGCCGTTTGCATAATTTCAACAGTAAACTCACTAACTCAAATTTGGACATAGAATTGGTTGAGTTATTTCCGAATGGAATTCATCCATTCTTGTCGAAGATATTTCTCTCTGATTTCAATGTTGGCTAATGAATTCATAACGAAAAACTAGTCTAGATCACATATGATCCGTTGTATATATAAAATTTTATTATAATTGATTTGCTTATTACGAAACCGATTGATTATCATCTGAATTTAGCAACTATCTAAGTTGGTTACCGCGTTGATTAAATCTGTTTCCGGCTAGAAAACTAATGTCGTCAGAAGAAGATTTCATCCGTCTTAATTTTCACTCAAAAAAGAAAAACCATGCGACGGTACTATTCTCTCTATATTTTCTTCGTAAGTTGAATAGTTAAATTCAGACGTATTCCAAGAACGTTGTGAGTGTGACTGTGGGTGTAAATGCAAAGAGAAGAACACCCATAACATACTTTTTGACGAATAGGTCGGAATCTAACTATTGAACTCTCGAACAACATGCAGCAAAATAGAGTACTGACACAAGTTTTTTTTGTATAAATCAAGATAGATAAAAGTTTCTTCTGCTGGTATTTGATTTTCACAAGCAACAGATTTAATCAATTTGAAAATAAACTAAATAATTATATATCTATAACGGATCATATTTGATTCCGACTCATTTTCAGTTATTAGTTCTCATTCAGTGATATTGGAATTGACGAAAAGTAGAAAATATCTTCTGGTGATCCTTGCATTAGTTCATTCAATCAGTTAGGTTTTTTCAAGAAAATAATAACATAAAAGTTTGTCCAATGACCTTGTTGTTACAACATGCTCTTATATAGCGTGTGTAAAAACTTTTTGTGCGGAGTATGACTCTACATGTAAATGACATGTGTAATTAACTTTATGCAAAAATAAAATCCATTAAAAATATTTTTGAAAGATCAAAGCAACAATTCGTTATAATCTACATAAAACCATACTGATGTGTTTTACTTTCAACGAGCTCTATTTTATTAGAAAACCTATTACGTATACCTTCTACAGGTAGAATACGAGACTTCAAAACAATACTTTTACGCATCCTGTATGCACTTTCTGTTTATACAAATTTAGGCCCACAGCATTTTTTATCTCGAGTCAAAAATTTCTTCGATCGAAAAGACACTTTGTGCAATGATGGAGCTAGCAGGCAACAAGAATAATCTAAGCGCCCTTCAAAAACCTTCGATTCTGTTCCTCTAGAATTGGTATGATCTAGCATTAATATTGGAAGGGTAAACTTCTTTTCAACTTCAGAAGGGCACTTATTTCGCCTCCCCACCCATAGAAATGTTTTCTGACTCTAACAATAATTTGTCAGCATCTCTGATTTGATAGTCGATGTGCTTTTTTTCGAACTTGTACCAGAATTAAGGATGAACTGGACTAAAAACAATCATTTGTTAGAACGAATCACTGATGAATAACAATCACCATTGCATTCGGTATAGTCATCATGATGTATTGTATAGATCATATTTTAAAACTATTCATCCTGCACTCTATGTAAAACAATAGAAAGAACTATCTATTATAAAAGTATATCATTGAAGGTAAGAGTTCTTGAAGTGAATTCTCTGTAATTGAAAATGTCTCCGAGTACTCAATTGTCCTTCGACGTTCTTATTTCCGCTGAAGTTGGCCTCTAAACGAGACTATACATAGAGGTCGCTACGGCTGATTGATTAAATTATTCGATATATACTCCCTAAGAGGTACGAATAAAATACGCTCTGATCCATTATGAGTGCTGTTTTTCTTAGAACTATTGTTATCGGTCAATAGAGCATAAATTTCTACATCTACGAAGCTCCATTCTGACCCAATTGTATTTTTTGTGTTGGGAAAAATCTACTAAAGACATTTTTGTTTGCAGTTATCATCGTGCATAATAACCATCAGAATAATTAAAATATCAATTTTTTTCATTGATTTTCTTGTATTTTTCCGTACTTTCTAGTTCTCTTAACGCCTTATATTCGAAGGGCATATTAGGAATGTCGAATATATGATAGGATATCGAAAAAAGCGCGTATTTTGGCATAAAATAGTAGTGGTTTCGACCGAATATTCCAGGTCACAAATTGAATAACAGCAAAAAAAAATATATCAATGATCTATTATCGGCGAAAAGTAAGCCTGATAATTATAACTCTTGAAGACTACCCACTTTCCAGATCTAAAATGTTCTTCATAAAGATCATTTATTGCGCTCTTTTGTGCGTGATTATCAGTTCAGAATGAAAACTTTTTCATTAATCGATATCTGCCATTTTGAATAATGATTTCATGAACTCTCTCTTCACCACTAGTTGAAGAAATTCACATATCAGAGATACTGTTTTTGATGATAATATGTCTTCCTTGATATTCATGTTTGACTCATAGTATGTCTGACTATTTCAGAGTACTGAAGCAAAAATTATATTTGCTTAGTTTTTCCCAGCATAGAAAATATGATTGAGTCAAAATGGGATGCTATAGATGTATAATTTGATGCTCTACAGACTGATAAAATTACTAAGAAATGCGGTGCTTATAGTAGATCAGAATGCATATTATTAATGCCCTATCAAAGTACTGCGTTCGAGCCATAACACGACAAAATATAGGGTGACAGTGGAAAAATCACGGATTGCTTAATGTCTAAAACTACTCGTCCGATAACATATTGAATACGTTGTGATATACACTAACCCTTGTGGCTGGCTAGTATCTGATGAGTCAGGTCTGTCTTCTGCTCAGTACTATAGCTCAATTAATTGTAGAAAAAATATTGAACTTTGGAAATTGTGTCTGTAAAATGCTCTAAAACGCTAGGTAACGAAAAGGCAAAATACTTTTCTTTTTCTTCTGCTTTTAATGTAACCGTAAAGTATTTGTGACGAGTCGGCATAAAAAAAAATGAATTTCTCTTCATGAAACATAAATATAAATAGGTAAAACAACGTCGTGTTAACACTGGTTAAGAATATTGTAAATTAAAAACGTTTAGCTTTTTCTTATGCCAAAAACTTGCATTTTCTGGTTTATAATTAATACAAAACTATATCGTAATCGATGAAAAAAACTATATCTAATTCAGTCAACGAAAAGTTGAATTACTCTTGAATAAAATGAAATTTTACACTGTACAGTTGAGTTCTTTCATGTAAAATATATCTTTATAATTATCAGAAATGGTTATTATAGCTCATTTGCTTGCTGTTCTACAAGTCAGAACTTTAAAATGTTTCACATGAAATTTTCAACTGTCTAATGTTTACTGTTTTATAAAAATAAGCGTTTGATAATGAATGATGACAGTTACCATAAGAGATGTTACAAACTTCTCATAAATCTTTCTAGAGTCTATTCGCTCTGATTGGATTTGATACATTGGTCAAAGTAAGAACGTTTCTCCCACGTAAGCCAAAGTTCCGTGGAAAATGAAAGAGTTTGATCGACTTGTGTCTGACACATAATGAGATTCTTTACAAAGAATATTAAAATATCACAACTCTGGCACTATTTAAGAAATATTTATCAAAGATTTCCAATTAAGTACTCGTATTGTATATGTTACACAAACAATATGCGATATTTTTGATCATTCAATGTATAAATGATCACAATGACAAAGTATTAGAATTATTTTTTTCGATTATTAGAAAAAAATTCCATGATTAGTATTTATTTCAAATGATCAAATTTGTTTAATTCTAATATTCATCAGTAAATAAAGTACAAGAATTAATAATAGCTAAAGGAATTTTAGTATGGGTAGATGAACATAACTTTGATAGTTTTTCTTATAAAACAAATCGACAAAGTTTGTTGAAAATTATTCTTTGTCAAATATCGAACTAGTCTACACTAATATATTGTGAATAAAATAAATAAAATATTTGAATACGTACCATATATTGGTTGAGGAAGAATTCTATATTTAGAAAAAAAAAAACATAATATCAAAAAGAAATTTGTTTGTAACAGACTTACAAGAGACAGACTACAGCAAAGTACAGTCGATGCCGTAGTTCGATATTCATCTCTAAAAAAATTGAAGTTTAAGTTATAAAATAAAATGCTAATTAATCAAAATTATATAATTTTGTCACATGATATAATAGATGAAAAAAAATGATATGTTATTATTAATTTTCTACTGATCGATACTATTATTCGACCGTAGTTAATATAATATTTTTCGAAGTGAAAATGAAAAAATTCATGTGAAAATGAAATACTAACAGCTTGTTTTTAATGTCTCGTGTTTTTTAAAGTGAATTTTGCTAATGGAAGAGTAACAAAGAAAATTGCACTTATAATTGATAAAAACAAGCAAAAAAACCTTTCATCAAACAAAAACTATATACCATTAACAGAAAAAAATCGAAATACAATCAAAACAATACTCCTATCATGCCTTGCATATGTAGTCTGTTGTTTTAGTTTTTGCCCTCTTTCTTCATCATTACTTAATAAACAAAGAAAAATGATTGAAACCATTATAAAGTTCACACAATAAGTTTCAAAGTTTTCTTTTTTCAGAATTGATCTTATAGATAAAATTCTTCAATAAATTAGCAATTTATCTCTTGTCTAGACAATGATTTTTTTTAAAAATCTAACGAAAAGATAAAAATGATCTAACAAAAATCAAATTATTTTTCTTTTTCATATAATTATTTCTGTAAAATTTAGATGATGTTCAAATTGAGTACAAATTGATTGATTATTTACTGCAATATTCCACTACGAGTTCTATTCTATTGATGATATAAATATATATAAGCACAAGTATAGTAATCATACTATATTTTAAATTATCAATATAAATTTTAACTTATTAATAACTAAAAGAGTTCGAAAGATCATTTTATATAATATTAATTACTGGTATAGAATAAGATCTGCAAACCAGAAAGGTTCTACCATTTATGCCTGTACTTTCTAATATTGTTTACAAGGAATTATTACAAAAGACAATGTAATTACTCAATCAAATCGTGCACATTGTACTCCTACTTCGGAATTGCTAGAAAATGCTCAAACTATATTATACATTCCGAAAGGAGAGTGGAATGTGCGTCAGAGATGAGACTGAGACCCATAGACTAGTGTAATAATGTAGTATGTGAGCTTGTGTTGGTGTTCAGATATGATCCACATTTACCTCACTCACATCCTCATCTAATAGCAAAACAAAACGCACGAGTTCACTCTAATATCATTTTATTTACAAAAGCCGGAATTGATGTTCATTTCTTACTGAAACAGGAAGCAGCAAGGCTTTTATTTTATACTATGATTCGAATTGGAACTCTTTCGATATATTTGTTGGATAGCGTCGTGACAGTTTACATTTATGTCTGTATTTCCACTATCAAGTGATATTTCGATATACAGCAATAGTACCGTACAGATGTAAACTTATAAAGAGCAGAAATTAATTAAATAAAAGTCTCATTTAAAATCTAAACAAACTTCGCTTGAACCATTTGTGTCGGACAATCATAGAAGAAATGTTGTTATAGTTTATGCTAACGATACAAGTTTAGACTTACCTCTGATACATATCTTCTTTTTCCTTTTTATTTCTTAGATCTAGCCATGTTTGCTATATAAAAATGCCAGTTTTATTAGTAATGTGTATGTGAGTAGTTAGATTTATTTTAACAAGAAAGGAAATAAAATAAGTTTAATCTTATTTGTGTTCTTGTTCGCAATATCTGTCATTATTTATTATTTCAATAAAATTTTTAATTTGAATGGTTTTTTTTTTCGAAAATTTTTAAAATGTCGTCTTCAAATCAAACATATCATTCGATTAGTAAGAAAAACTTCTACAATCAATATAACAATAAAAATTTTGATTTCAAAACAAAATTTTCTCAGTATCGTATCATTCATTGTTTACTAATGATTTAGCAATATATAGTAATGATCGAAAATCACGATAATTGATTAGTAATGAGTAAACAACGAATAGAATAATTTTTTTTCAAGCTTCTATCTCCACTTCGGATAATGAATTAAGGAAGAGTTATTTGTTTCGTGAATTTATTTTTTGGATCATTTATTGAAGTAAAATCATCTTTTTTTCTTAATAGCTCCAGAATGCGATAGAAATCTAATGTTTCATATTTAGAAGTTTTAATGTTTATTTTCATAAAAATACTTTTTTATTAATAAACTCTCGTCAATATGAACAGACAAACGGATTCCTTTACTTTTGTTTTCAATTCAAGAAAGTTATTCTGTAGAAATTCAGATGTGATTTTAAGATTTAGTCAACAAGACTAACTTGATACAATTAACATACACCCAAGATGCTATCGTACTTGTTTTTCACATAGAAAATGATTTTGTTTCTAACAGTAGATAGAACAATTTTCAATTTCTCTTAGAAAAAAAAGAACGAAAGCTTCTTTTCAATTTTGATCAGACTCATCCAGTTAATACAAAAAACTTAGATCCCAATTTCTTTATGCAGATCGATAACCTTGAAAAAATGTTTAATGCATCTTTATTTTCTATAAAATAGCTCTTTTTATGCGTTGTTAATGTAAATAAAAGAACGAAAATGTTATTTGAAGAAAATGAATCTATTGACGAGCCATTAGTGAATTGTCAGACACAGAACAATCGATGCCTGCTCGTAGCCGCACTCGTAGATGGGTGAGTTTATGCATCACAAATAGCGTTACTTTGTTTTTTTTTTCTTTAACATCACATAAAAAAAAACTTTTAAAAGAAAGTTCGAATAGTTTTGTTTATTTGGACATTAATTAGAAAACAAAATAACTATGATAATTAATTTGATTTTTCTTTTCAATATTTTATTATAGAGCACCGATAAACAAACAAAACAATTATATATGGGTCGAATGTTATATACTCAATTATTTCGACCTCGACGAATTTTAATTGTACTTAGTTTTATAATATTATTAATTGCTGCAAATCATTTCTATGCTACTTCTTTAACAAGTTCAACAGAAAATGTTAAGTCACGTTCTCCTAGACGAAATGTTAGAGAAAAACAAATAACTGAACAGATCGTTGAAATCAAAGATCGACAGCCATTCTATAAATTATATATATATGAAGGATATGAAGTTGATTTGGATCGTAAACGTGCACAAGCTAAACTAATTGATAATATAAAACTTTATGAAAAATGTCAACAAAATCACAAAACACTTGTTCTTGATGTTGGTGCTTCTTTAGGTATTATACATTCAATTTTGAATATATTTCTTAACACTTTTTTGAATATTTTTTATATCTATAGGACACTTTGGCTTATATGCTGCAGCATGTGGATGTCGTGTTTATATGTTTGAGGTTGATCCAATCAAAATTTCATTACTTCAAAAATCAATTAAATTAAATTCATTTGAAACACGTGTTACTTTAATTCCAAAAGCAATTAGTGATTTACCACCAAAAACTAAAATTTATATGAGTTTTAATACTAGTAGTCAAGTACCTGGTAATGAAGTTGATGAGAGTTCAGACATGTATGCTGTAGAAACAACAAATTTGAATCAATATAATTTTTCTACGGATATTTATTTATTTCGTGTTGATGTTGAAGGTTATGAAATACATGTATTTCGTTCATGTGAAAATTTATTTCGTAAGAATATTATACATCATGTTCTATTTCAATATACACCTTCAGGAACAGATCGAGTTTTACAAAATGATCTTCTTAGTTATATGAGAGATATTCTTGGTGGACGAAGATTTTATGCATTACATCCAAGACAACCTATTTTATATGGTCCAATATATAATGAAGATATTGAACACTTTTATACTCAACATCAAGCACTAAATTTAGAAAGAGATGTTTATGTATTATTTCAAGATGAGGATTTAAATATTGATTCTAAACCTTATGAATTTCAATCATCTTTTGATTAAATTTTAAAATATTTTGAAACTTTGTTTTTTTTTCGACTTTTTTAACAACTAGTGTTTTATTTAAATTTTTTTTTTTGTTTTATTCTAGGATTTATTTTATATAAAGTTGCATTAATATTAGTCTAGTTCTTAGATAACTAACTTGAATATTAAGTATCTTCTTCATGCACAGACTTTCAAAACTAAACAAATAATCTTAAAAAGAGTGAAACAAAAAAACAAGAAGACAAAAAATTAATTCAATTAGATAAAATAAAAAATTGTCACTTGTAATAATCGATTTGAATACGTTTGTCATTATACATTCCATAAGTAAATCATTTTCTTTATGAATTTTACCTCTTTAATTATGGAACTTTTGCAACGGTGACAAAACATGTGAGTTTGTAAACAGAAACCCAGAAACGAGTATTTACCTCAAAAGAACGCAGCAAATTCCGTTAGGCTTCAGTTATAACACCATGATATTCAATACTTGAATGATTCAATTATCCAAAACCTTGTGAGACCTTTTACATAGTTCCATGAATATATTCAGTAGTTCCATATCATAATTTAAGTCCAATAATATTGAAAGTTTGGTGTTCTATAAGATTAGCGCTTCCGTACTAATAGAAACTTTCTAGTGCGACAATAATTATAAGATTCAACAGAAGTTTACCAATTTCTGTTAGGTTTCATAGAGTTTTGAACGATTTTCGGTATGGAGATCCTATGACTTCTTATCGACTTCTATATTGAGAATTTTTTTTGTTTTTTTTACTTGGTATACATACATCTACAATGATATCATTTAATCATGCTGAGATACTAAAAATACATTAACAAGAGAGAATACCCTATCATTGAAGAAAATAAGAAGATTCTAAAAGTTATGATCTACATGTAAGCTCAGTCCGTATATACGAACACCGTAGCCAAAGCATCGAAAAGCATCTCATCTATGCACTAAATAAACAAAGCTAGATTTATTTTTTGCTTTAAATAAAAACAAATTTAATTGAAAGTTTATAAGTAATTGATTTTATTCCAAGCATCTATTACTATTTTAGCAGCGCTACCTTATGACAAAAATTCGACCGAACTTTCTTTAAATCAATTATTCTTTTTGCTTTGTATCTTTTCAATACTAACGAGGGAGGTATCCGAACTGTTCCCTCGATTTAGAGCTCATACTTTGACCACAAGTAGACCTCAATATGACTAGCAAAAGACTAAAAGGATTCGTGCCCAGGGGTCTGTGGTCAAGAGTTATGGTTGTTTTATTGAATTTTTGACTCATAGCCAGACATTTTCGAAAAAAGCGAACTAAGGAATTTCGGTCTGAAATTTTGTCTATAGATAGATCTAATTGTCATTAGAATATCCTGAAAGTTTCAACAAAACGGATATGTCTTTCTCGAGATATTGAGTGTTCAAAAAATAGTCACTTGCCACACGAAGGACGCAATGGTCGAGTTTACTTGCAAATTCAATATCTCAAGAAAGACACATTCGTTTTGTTGAAACTTTCAGGATATCCTAATGACAATTAGATCTATCTATAGACAAAATTTCAGGCCGAAATTCCTTAGTTTGCTTTTTTCGAAAATGTCTGGCTATGAATCAAAAATTCAGTAAAACAACCATAACTCTTGACCACAGACCAGAGGTCCAACCAGGCCACTAGGCCTGCCTGGGCCTGCCTGCCTGTCACAGGCACAGGCCACGTTTTTTAGGCCTGGCCTATGACAGGCAGGCCAGGCCGACCCCTCAGCCAGGCCAGGCAGGCCGCTTAAAACACCAGGCCGCCTGGCCTGTCTATATTCTTTATAAATATAGCTTTTTTTCAATATACATTTTTTTAAACAAATTGAGGGTAACGCTAGCGATCGGGAGAAGTATAGAATAATGTTCTGCTTTCATGGTGATTGATCGAGGGGATGACTAATGTTCAATTCAAATCGTAGAGTTCCTCTTCTTTATCTATTCACTCTTCATGTTCTCATTTCTCTATATTTTTTTATTATTGATTGTTGTTAAAATCTTTCTTATCGATTATTGTTGAGATATTTATTATTGACTGTAAAAGTCTTTATTGTTTTTGTTAAACTTATGTGTTAGCATTTCAATTGTCTTTCTTCGTGAAATGGGTGATATTGATCTTTCATCTTCCGTCTCTATTGATGATCCTTCACCTCGTTCAAAAGTAAAACAAACTATATGTTTCTATTCTATCATCGTGATGGTCAAGGCGTGCGCGTGACACCCATCCTCACAATATTCGAAAAATTGTCTTGCATTGTATTTCACAAAATGAAACTTATCCTATGTAAAGCACGATTGTATAAGTTAACCTCAGTGTTGTCAGATGTCAAACTCGTGAATCCAGAATTTAAATCTCAAAATCCTGTAAAACTCAGAAAAATCTCGAAAGAATCCTGCAAAAATCTCAAAAAATCCAGAAAAACCTAGAAGAAATCCCAAAAAAGTCTTGATAAGTCCTTGAAAAACCCAAAAATTTCGAAAAAATTCCGACAAATCCAGAGAAATACTTGAAAAAATCCTGAAAAAGCGCACAATCGTCAAAGAATCCAAAAAATTTAGAAAAAATTCTGAAAATCCAGAAAGAATCCCACAAAAATCTCGAAAAAACTTTCAAATCCGGAAGACCTGGCAACACTAGCTACTCACCCAACATTTTTGGAAATAGGATTTTATAAGTTACTACCCCCGTCCCCAAGTTTTGGTTGCTTGCGACACCCCTGGTAATGGTATTGGCATAAAAGAAAAATAGACAGGCCTTTCCAGGCAGGCCAGGCAGGCCGAAGAAAATGCCAGGCAGGCAGGCCAGGCCAAACAAATAAGTTGGCAGGCACAGGCAGGCTTGGAATTCAGAGGCCTGTCATAGGCCGGCCAGGCCTGCAAAAATGCGGCCTGGTTGGACCTCTGCCACAGACCCATGGGCACGAATCCTTTTAGGCTTTTGCTAGTCATATTGAGGTCTACTTGTGGTCAAAGTATGAGCTCTAAATCGGGGGAACACTTCGGATACCTCCCTCGTAAGTATAAATGAATCAATATTCTATTCTTTGCTATCTGTGATTAGAGTCAAGAGTGAAACTTAATGATTTTGATTCTATGATAGATAATAATACATCAATTTATGATTGACTGAACAATAATAATAGACTCTTATGACCACTAATCAATATCGTTTTTTTCTGACTTTCTGATGGACAATTTGATGATTCGATTTTTTGATTGGTATTGTTTATTCGTTACTTTAATTTGGAAAACAGTCATATGTCCAATTGATTAGTGGCGGAGCTATAAAACCAGCGCCCCTCTTGTCTTGAGGGGAAGCAGTGACAAATGGCATGCTCGCTACATGTACGCTATCATCTACAGGGTTGTTCAAAAGTCACCGGGCAGTTTTTCATCGCGAATAACTTTTGACAGAAACAAAATAGAGAGCTGCGTTTTTCACCATTGGATAGAGGAGAGAAAAACCGGCTAATCGTTCGAAGTAAAAGACTTATATCTTCTGAATGATTTGAGCTAATGACCTCAGCCTTACGCTGCTGTATAGGTCTTCACTTGGCGGTTTTAAAGCATACCTGAAAATTGAAAAATCACCGTAGTCAGTTGATGGGATGCTTTAGTTGTCAAAAAAACTTGATTGAAGGCTTGAAAACAACCTGGTAAAATTACTTGCAACATATAATTCGATGCGCCTTCATCTCCTCTTTCCAACAGTGAAAATCGCAGCTCTCTATCTTGTTTCTACTAAAAGTTATTCGCGATCAAAAACTGCTCGCTGACTTTTTGGGCCACCCTGTAGAATACAAATCACTAGTAGAATAGCTAATGGCGAAAACAGAACAGCAGTTTCTCTATTGTTCTGGTAGAGGTATTGAAGAATGCTGTCGATCTATTGACACTGTATTCTTGATAGCATGACACACATAGGGAGGACATCATCTACGGCTGCCTTGTTCCCCTCCCTCAGAAGAAGAGGGACGCTAATGTTCTGGTTCCGTAACTACAATTGATTTGCAAAGATTAGGGACTTTTTGGTATCTACATAACACTATGATCAGTATTTCGATCCAAAATATTGTTTTTAAAATGATTTGTATTAGATAAAGAAAGATCATCTGGTGAACTTCGTTTATTTTACCATTGACATCTCGGATCAGTGTATCACTGAATATGGTCTAGTTTAAAAGTGTTTTTTCCTTTTATATGTATACAACTGTAACTATGCTCAAATGATCTAAAAGAATTAAGACAACACAGAATAAGAAATAAAGTCAACATAGCAAAAAGAATGTAAGTAATAATGGTACAAATCAATAAATAACTAATTTACTTAGTTAATTTCAAAATATAATAGAATTTGAGAGAATATTGCGCTGATTTGCGAAATTAGATGAAATAAACACAAAATCTATTGTGTTTTTGCATTTAATACTCTTCATTAATTATATCTATAGCTATTTTTTGTATCCCTATAGGTTTTATAATAGGTCTCTGAAATCAATTAAATAATATTAGTTGTAATCATATTATCAAATAATCGTGTATAAATGTCAATAATAGTCAAATTTCGATTGAAATTGCTTATAGTAACGAGTTAAGATATAGATTTTTGTGCAACTTTCATAGATATACATGATTATTCAGCAAGTATTGGGATGAATTCGAGTAAAGCTTAGCATTTGATAATGTATTACGTTTTATTACAAAAAGAATCCTAAAAACTGTAGGAACTATCGAACATTAATAAGTCTAGAGTATTTATCCAACACATGGATTTTAGAGAAAGATATTCGACTTGTAGAAACATTTGTTCACGTTCTGAGCAACTTTCGTGTTCTCTGTCTCCATTAATAGTTTCATTCATCACATTGTGCAAGCATTATAAAATTAGAAAAACTTATTACAACGAAAAAAGAAAATCAAAATTCAGCAAATAATATTAGTAAATATTATTTGTTTAACAGACAAATTCCTAT